TCAAAAACACTGTAAATATAGAAAATTTAGCAGAATTATATTGGAAAGACAGTAATTCTTCACAAATTAACTTATAATGTAATCCATTTAAAAATTTTCAGTGAGAATTATTTTATAATTTGACTGAATGATACATTACATGAGTTAGAGTAACTAAAGTGAAAGAGCGGGTTAACCTACCAGAAATTAAACATTTTAAAGCTGCAATAATTGACATAGTGTATTACTGTCACAAACATCTACAGTAGGTCAACAAGCAGAAACTTAAAATATAATGAAGAAAGCACCATAAATCAATTCAGAAGAGATGGTGCTGGGGAAAAAAATATCAATTTCTGAAAAACTCTTGAAGGTTAGAAACAACACTATATAAACTTAAGATGGATTAAATATTTGGGTGTTCTTTTTTAACAAATGAAAGAGTAAGGATCAAGAATAAGTGAGAATATCTGATCAATGGTAAAATGGCCACAATTTTAAGGATACTATCAATGAACATAATATCAAAGAAATAAATTGTTAAATTTTATTTAGAAAAAAACTACTAAAAGGCAAAAAGGAAGCTGGAAACATTCTCAATCTATGTTTCAGATAATGTGAAAAAAGCTCTTAAGAAAACACAGGAAAAATGAGCAACAGACATTGCAGATAATTGACAGTAGAAACTAAATAAATGACAAACAACGTTTCCAACTTTCCTATTAATAGAATGCTTAAAGTATCTATGACAAGCTTTTTATTTGTTTTATCAGGTATATAAATTATAATGCTCAATAGTGGTAAAGTGTAGTGAGACAAGTATTTTCTAACTGTTCGTGGGAGTTTATGAGTGTTCTGAGTACCAACCTTGACAAAAATTCAACAATGTGTGTCTGGATTCTTAGGATTCCCATTGTTAACTTTTCCTTCTTACTCCAGCAGATATGTGATTCAAAATGTATAAACAAATGTGTTTATTGTAGGGTTATTCATTATAATAAAAAATGAAAGCAAACAAAATTCCTAATAATACAATAATGGTGAAATATAGGGTACCCCTATATATCTTATTACTAGGATCTTTAAAAAATCTAGTTTTTAAAGAGTAATTAATGACCTACAGAGATATAGTCGAATAATAAATGAAGAAAATAAGCATACAATGTTTATAGAGTTTGAACCCAGTAATACATATAAATCTCAACTATAATGAATAAGCACATCTCTCCTCTTTGCTGGATATTCTTGATAGAAAAAATATGCAAGTAAATAACTTGAGACATATTTGAAAAGAGGGGAGTGTTTGATTTAGAATTTTCTAAACTTGAGGGTTATTATTATTTTTTTGTTTTGATATTACTTTTCCCTGCTCCTTAAATTTTTGTTTGTTTGGGGGAGTTGGGGTTTTCTTCTCCTTGAAATTGTCTGTTTCTAGATGAAAGCTGAAAATGTTTAAAAGCTTTGCCAATGTGTCTAGGTTTTTCAAATGTAATCAGATTTTAGCAAGATTTTACTTAACTAAAAGTATTCAGAACACTATGCAAAATCATCTGGAGTCAAATAGTAATGGAGGCAATGATTTGCAGAGTAGAAAGAGAAAGAGAAAAAGATGAGATAGACCCTCAAAACCTAGACCCAATGAATTAAATCAGCTTGGAACATTTAAACAAATAAAGGATACCTATACTAGAAGTTTTCTTCTTCCACAATTGATTCTAAGATCAGAATCTGAGGGGAAATGGCGCTATTCCACGTTCTAAAACAAGCTGCCAGCAATCAAGACCAGCCACTTCCCCATAGGGTTTACTCTAAAGCAACAGTGGTATTATCTGTATTCCAAGCAATTTCCAACCTCCTCTGTACTCTGTGTCCCAGGCAAGGTTAAAAAGACTCAGATTGGAAGGGATAGTAAGCTTTGCGGGAGTGCAGTGTTTTTGGTAAGGGACAGCTCCTTCTCCTTCATCTCTCTGAAGTCAAAAGTAGAGACGTTGAGAGAATCACTGAGAGTAAGTATATAGACTCCAAAGAAGGAAAAAGCATCCTCTCACTTCACTGAATGTTTGGAATCTGCAGACCTCCTTCACAGGTCTGTATAGCTTTTGGAGAAGCCAGAAGAGCATTCTAGGCATTCCTTTGGCTTTCCATGCCTAAGCACTTAGAGTAGAAGAAGAGGAAGAACCATAAGATTAACCATACATAAGAAATCAACAAAAGGCTGTGAAATTGACTTTTCCTATTTTTCAATTTAAGTAAGAGAGAATTGTCAATGATTAAAATTCATAAAATGAAGAAAGAATGGACTCAGAAAATAGCAAACATGAAATGTTAATTATTAGTTCAAAAGTTAGTTTACTATGTTTTCTCCGCCAACTGATTGCTAATGACTAAAGTCCTTATTTCCAGCTTTCATCTCTCCCCTGAGCTCCAGATCTCTTGATTTTTTAAACTAGCAGTTTCCCCAAAATATATGAGACAACAAAATATACTCTCAGCTGAAGTAAATAGCATTCATCTTCCCAGCCAGATAAGGTAGAAGTACTTCTAGATCAGATGTTATATTCAGGATAGGTTAAAAACAGACTCTGGTCCCAGTGTCCCAGGGATGAACAATGGATGTGCTTATTTCACATTGCATGCCTGTATCAAAATATCTCATGTATCCTACAAATACATACACTTACTATGTCCCTACAAAAGTTAAAAACAATACATCATAAATATTTGTAAAATAAGTGAATAAATGTATAAATGAATTTAAAGGGAATAGACAGAGGGGAGAATGTAACTTTACATGTCCCAGAACAGACTTTGAACAGGCTCTTATCATATAGGAAAACTGAATATATGCAAGCATAAGTCCAATAACCAGATTCTGATTTACAGAATGATTGTAACTGTAGTTCTTTCAAGGCCCAGTCTTTGAACAGGCTGTGTCTTATTCCTGCAACATGCTGATCTATCTTCATGCTTCAAGACTCAGATCCTTATCTTCTCTGGGATGTCTCCTAAGCACTGCCCCAGAAATAACTTCTCCTCCTATAATACTTAATCATAATCCTTGGCTTACATGCTTGTTTCTTTTCATTGACTATGAAATCCTCAAGACAAGGTATATAATCTTGGTATATAACATATACATCTTTAATCCTAATGCCCAATAGATTTCTTGGAAGATAGTAAGCTCCCAATACACATTTGTTAATTTGAAGCAAAAAAAAAATTACCTAATCATTCAAAAAACTGAATTATCACAGATGTCCATCTAAAGTACTATATTAACACAATGAAATGCTATACAGCCAGGTTAATGAACAAACTAAAATTATATGCAACATGGATTATTGTAAACATAATGTTGTGGGTTTTTTTGGTTTTTTTTATTATTATACTCTAAGTTCTAGGGTACATGTGCACAACGTGCAGGTTTGTTGTAAACATAATTTTGAATGAAAAAGGCAAGACACAAAGGAGTATAAGCCATATAATTCCATTTTCATAATATTCAGTACAGGCCAAATAATCAAAGTTGACAGGGTACTGGTTATACTTGGAGGTAGTGACTGCGAAGGGGTAAGAGGAGATTTCTGAGATTCTGATAATATTCTATTTCCTTCTCTGATTGCGCAGTGTGTTCCATTTTTAAAAGACTATTGAGCTATACAGTTAAATTGTGCAGCGTCCTGTACGTATATTATACTTCAATTAAAAGCTTCCATGGAAGATATACATAGTTCCCAAAAGACAATAGAACAAAAAATTTTCAATTATTTTAAGCACAAACAATTGTGTTCAGCTGTCTTACAATCGAATATATAAGAATAAATTTATGGCTAATTAGCACAGAGTATATGCATTTTCATAATTAAAACTTCCACGAGTACAACATATGTTAAGTATTTAAAATCAGTTTTTCTCTTTCCTCAAATAAGGTTGTGAATCATAATTTGGAAAACAGTTCAGCATGTAATAATTTAGTGATTTTATTTTAAACCAAGCTGAAGCCACATAGAGCAGAACTGCTCAACTGAACCCTATCCAAATCCTTGACCCACAGAATTAGGAGCAGATAAAATGGATGCTACTTAAGCAAAACAAAAACTTTGTTTATACTTTTGTCCTATAATTTTCCATAAGTGTACTTTAATTAAACATTTTTAAACTTGCAACTTTAGGTTATATACTTACTTTAGTTGGTTCTCAACCAGGGACAATTTTGTCCCCACCCCCAACCCCCCAGTATATTTGGCAATGCCTTGAAACATTTTTGGTTGTCACAGTTCAGGGGCGAGGTGTTACTACTGGTATCCAATGTGTACAACAAGCCAGGGATACTGCTGAATACCCTACAATGCACAGGATAGCCCCTCACAGCAAAGAATTATCCAAACTTAAATGTTAGTAATGCTAAAGTTGAGAAACCTTGCTCTGATATCATAATATAATGTTGTTAGAATTTTTATTTTATTCATTTTTATGTATGTATGTATGTATATATGTATGTATTTGAGATGGGGACTTTCTCTGTTGCCCAGACTGGAGTGCAGTGGCGCGATCTTGGCTTATTGCAACCTCTGCCTTCCAGGTTCAAGTGATTCTCCTGCTTCAGCCTCTGCAGTAGCTGGGATTACAGGCGCCTGCCACCAAGCCTGGCTAATTTTTGTATTTTTAGTACAGATGGGGTTTCACCATGTTTGCCAGGCTGGTCGCAAACTCCTGACCTCAAGTGATCCGCCCACATCGGCCTCCCAAAGTGCTAGGATTACAGGCATGAGCCACTGCACCCGGCCAGGAATTTTTGAATCAGAATTTTTCTTGACCAATTTTAATCTCTTATCATTTAGAGATTCTTGAAATATTGAAATTGCTTTGTTCAGAGTGAATGAATTTTCTTAAATTATATATTGTGAACAGCTTTTAAATTGCTTATTTTCAAATTGTTTGCCATGTTTGTTTTCCAGTTTGCATTAAAAAATAGTTTGAGAAATATGTTGTTTATAACAATTTTATTCTTCTTTCTCCAGGCTAGAAGAACAAAAGAATATCTTGTCAGAATTTCAAAGAGATTTAAATGAATTTGTTTTATGGTTGGAGGAAGCAGATAACATTGCTAGTATCCCGCTTGAACCTGGAAATGAGCAGCAACTAAAAGAAAAGCTTGAGCAAGTCAAGGTAATTTTATTTTCTCAAATCCCCCAGAGCCCACTTTTATAAAGAAGTATATGAATCTATTTTTTTAATTTAATCATTGGTTTCCTGCCCATTAGGTTATTTATAATTCCTTGCTAAAGTGTTTTTGTTGCAACTTTATTTTTTCTTAACCCTGCAGTTCTCAACCAGTGCACATAAGAACATATGTATGTATGTGTGTGTGTGTGTGTATTTATATAAACACACACATATTGCATCTATACATATAGATGTATATAATCTATGTATATAAATCACAGTTTTTATCTTAAAAACTAATTTGAAAATAATTTTAGATTTATTTGAGAACTTCAAAACCTCAAGTAATTTTTTTTTTTTTTTTTTTTTTTTTGAGACGGAGTCTTGCTCTGTCGCCCAGGCTGGAGTGGTGCAGTGGCCAGATCTCTGCTCACTGCAAGCTCCCCTTCCCAGGTTCACGCCATTCTCCTGCCTCAGCCTCCCGAGTAGCTGGGACTACAGGCGCCCGCCACCTCGCCTGGCTAATTTTTTGTATTTTTTAGTAGAGACGGGGTTTCACCGTGTTAGCCAGGATGGTCTCGATCTCCTGACCTCTTGATCCACCCGTCTCGGCCTCCCAAAGTGCTGGGATTACAGGCTTGAGCCACTGTGCCCGGCTGTTCAAATAATTTTAAAAACTAAAGACCAGACTGTGGAATCATAAAATCTAAATCTAAATGGGAATCACTTTTTTAATCTGTCCTGGTTACCTACATGGAGATTTGAGAAGAGACTTTAAAAACAAGAATCTATTTTCTTAGGGAAGATCTGGATTGCCAAATCAATATCACTACTTCAGCCTCTAATTAAAGGCATTATATCCCCCCAAAGCAATGTTTTGTTTTAGCTTGTTTGTCTGGAGGTGTAGGACGTGGTGTTGGTTCACATTCCATTTGGTTGAATAGACATCCAGCTTATTCCAGTGGCTTTTCATGCCTTCCTACTGTGATGTCTGTCTGCTTAATACTGATTACTTCCCTTGGCTGACTGACATGCTCTGATTGTGCAGTTGGATTAACTTCCATGGTTTTAGTTTTAGGAAAGCAACTCTTTTGGATCTATTTCATTTTAATTGTCAAACAGAAGGTGAAAGGGGAAGAGAAATTAATATTTAATCATTCCCTATTATGTGCCAAGTATTAGATACATGTACAGCCACTATTTTATTTAATTTTCATATCAAATTTTGACAATGGTTGCTATTATCCTCATTTTACAAGGTCACATAATCAAAGGGAAATGAAATTGCTCCTTTATCAATGATTCAGTTGCCTTATACATGTAAATTAGAGTCCAATGTCAAACATTTATTTCTGTGAAACAAGAAATTTACACCTGAACAAGAAATAAAGTATAAAAATAAAATATGGTGTAATTCAATAAACAAATATGGAGCACTGACTATACATCAGATGTTTTACTAGGTATTTGAGATTCAAAAATAGAAAAGAATGGGAATCATTTGAAGATGGTTATACCCTAGAACAATGAACTCAGTCTATTCTTGGAAATTTATCTTTCCTAAATGTACTGTGTCATATATAGTAATATAATTGATAATTCATTTGAGACATTATTTAGTGGCATTTTCTTATATAATTAACATATATGATTCTATTTTTCTCCTGAAAGAATCTAGATCAGTGCTGTCAAATAGAACTTCTGTGGTAATGAAAATATTCTGCATTATCCATTTTTGTAACAACTAGTTATTTGTACCTTTTGAATGCCTGGAGAGTTGGTAGTGTGACTGAGGAACTTGAGATTTTATTTTAGCGAATTTTGATTAGCTTAAATGTTAATAGTGTCGTATGGCTAATGGGTACTGTAGCAGACACTGTAACTCTAGATAACAAAAATGAATAAAACACGGTTGTTAACATCATGGTGGTTTTGGAGGTCTTGGGAAAGGGTATACACTATGTGATGGTGAATGAGTAAGAGAAATTTAGGGATATGGAGTGAAAAATGAGGATTCTAGAATGAAACTACCCAAATTTGAACCACAGCTTTGTTGCTTGCTAGATTTGTGTCCTGGGAGCTGGTATTTAACCTCTTTGTCTCAGTTTCCTTCCATATAAAATGAAGATAATAGGATCTACCTGATATAAGTATTATAATATGAAGATAAACTAAGATACTAAACAGGAAAAAATTAGCACAGTGCCTGGCACTGTGTATATTGAGAGTAAACATTCTCAATGTCAGTTACCTCTTAAGATGATAATGCAGTTTCTCAGTGGCAAGCTATGGTATGCTATGGCATGCTATGATACCCAAGAAGTTGATGAATTTATTCACATTGTTCTATTTCTGATAGAGACATGTTTTCAGACACTAACTTTATTTGGAGTGTTGCTTTACCATCTCACATTTTTCTCTTAAAAAATTATGAGGGATAAAATAATCATTTTTTTCCTGCAAAGATTTATCTACTGGGGAGTGAGTGTTTCAGTCAAGCAGCTCTGTGCTCAAATAGAAAACTGTTGGTATTTGAGGTACCACTGGGCCCTCGGTCAAGTCGCTTCATTTTGATAGACTAATCAATAGAAGCGAAGACAAGGTAGTTGGAATTGTGCTGTAATTCATTTTAAACGTTGTTGCAATGTCTGTTTCAGTTACTGGTGGAAGAGTTGCCCCTGCGCCAGGGAATTCTAAAACAATTAAATGAAACTGGAGGACCCGTGCTTGTAAGTGCTCCCATAAGCCCAGAAGAGCAAGATAAACTTGAAAATAAGCTCAAGCGGACAAATCTCCAGTGGATAAAGGTTAGACATTAACCATCTCTTCTGTCACATGTGTTAAATGTTGCAAGTATTTGTATGTATTTTGTCTCCTGGGTGCTTCATTGGTGGGGGAGGAGGCTGGTATGTGGATTGCTGTTTTGTTTTGTTTTTCAACCTGACCGTTTGCCTTGGCTGTATGTTTTGTTGTGGCTAGAAAAAATGATGATGGTGAATGGCTTTACATTAGTGACCAAATGCCATAATTTATACTACAATTTTTTGCCTAAATTATTCTGAAGAATTAGACTGAAGAAATGATGAAGTATTTAATTCAGTGGCCAGGTATATACTGACAGTATTGAATCTAAAAGGACGTGGTCTGGTTCTAGTTAAACAAGTATCATAAATCAAAATTAATTATTCACACCTAGATTATAGATTTAATAATTAATGTACACTAACGTTCTCCACAAGTTTATTTACTTACCTACTTATTAACTCGTGAGTTTTCATCTTTCCACCTTGAATACTATATAAATCTAATATTAATACTATTAAATTAATGCATATTTATTTTATATAAAGCAAGTGGTACATATGAATTTATGATAAAAAGCAACATCAATTGATCCAGCACTATTTATTCAAAGATAATCATTTCCTCGCTGTATTGTCATGGCATCTTTGTTATAAATCAAGAGAACTTGTATGTATGAATCTGCGTCTAGATTCTATATCCTATTCCATTTGATTAAATCTGTACTATAACAGTACTTCACTGGCTTAATTACAATCTCTTTTTAAAAACAATTCTACTGAGCTATAATTCACGTACCATTTAACTCATTTTAAGTGGACAATTCAATGGTATTGGGATATTACATTTTTAAGCTGTGATAAAATATATAACATAAAAAATTGTCATTTTAGTCATTTTGTGTGTACAATTCAGTGGCATTTATTACAACCATCACCACAATTTATCCCGCCCCCCCAATTTTTTTTTTCTTTTTTGGAGATAGAGTGTCGCTGTGTCGCTTAGGCTGAAGTGCCGTGGTGCGATCTCAGCTCTCTGCAACCTCACCTCCCAAGTTCAAGTGATTCTCCTGCCTCAGCCTCCTAAGTAGCTGGGATTACAGGCGCCTGCCACCATGCCCAGCTAACTTTTTGTCTTTTTACTACAGATGGGTTTTTGCCATGTTGGCCAGACTGGTCTCAAACTCCTGACCTCAGGTGATCCGCCCACCTTGGACTCCCAAAGTGTTGGGATTAGAGGTGTGAGCCACTGCGCCCAGTCTCCAAAATTTGTATTACTCCAACCAGACAGTTTGTAACCATTAAGCAATAGTTCCCCTTTCTCTGTCTTCCCATCCACTAGTAGCCTCTGGACTACTTTCTGTTTCTATGAATTTGGCTATTCTAGATCTTTTACATAATTGGAATTGTATATTTGCCACTTTGTGTCTGCCTTACTTCACTCAGCATATTTTCAAGGCTCATCTATGTTGTAGCATGTGTCAGAATTTCACTCCTTTTTATGACTGAATAATATTCCATTGTATGTATGTATGCAATCATTTTATTTACACATTTTGGATCTGGTTGTGTAAACAATCCAACTTTGTTCTTCCTATTCAAGATTGCCTTGGCTACTTTTGTTTCTTTGAATAAATTTTACAACCATGTTGTCTATTTTTACATAAAGCCTGCCAGGATATTGATTGAAATTTTGTGAATCTGGAGCTCAATTAGCATCTTTACAATACTGAGTCATCTAATTTGTGAGCATTTCGAATTGTGTCAGGTTATTTATACTTTTTAAATTGAGGATGCTGACATTCTAATAACAGATCATTTACATGACTGATAAAATATTTAGGAACTAAAATAAGTACCAATTCTATGACATTAAAACCATAATGTGCGCTTAAGTCTCTGTAATTCAAGCAGGTAGTTATTTGGGGGAAAAAAAAAAAAAAAAACCCCTTCTTGGTTTCTACCTTTAATGATTGCAAAACATCTGTGTAAAGATATAGACTTTTATGTATGGATGGAAGGTGGTGTCCCAGCAATTAAATTTTACATCTACATAGCAATGCAAATGAAATCATCCCTCATAAAAAGAGAACAAGGAGGCAGGATACCCAAAATGTCCTACAATATCTCAGTACATCTTATGGCAAAAAAACAAAAATTATAATTGTAGGAATTATGAGATAACTATCTAAAATATACAATAGCAGGTTTGTGGATTGTGAAAGAGTGAAGGTTTTGTGTGTTCTGAAACAAAATAAAAAGTCAAATTTTTATGATAGAAAATTAAAACTGAGGTTACGAACAGCATCATGTATATACTTATGTTACTACAGCATCCATAATATCTGTTTCTTATGTCAAAATTATAATTTTAATGCAATGTCTTTGCCATTAAATGCCACAGGATTTGGAATTTTATTCATTAGTCATATTAAAATTATTTAATCATCTTTTCTCCATCCATATGCCCCTATGTCCCTGTTAGTTTAGATTTAGGGATACAAAGGAAATGATCAGTACCAGATTTAGGTAAATAACACAAGTTTTTTTTTAAAGTTAAAAAAAGTGGCTTATAACACTGGCAGACCATTTTGATCTTCATTAAATCTCAAGCTCTTACTTATTACAGGAGGGTAGAAATAAAGCGGACCCCCTCCCTGTGTTCTCGAGTCCTATCCTTCATCCAAAGCTTAAAGTGGGTGATATAATTAGAACTAGTGGGTCATAGTTGCTGGGACATGAATATGTCAATTCCTTAGTACATAGTATCTCCAGATATATCCTAATATCATAATCAGTTGGCAGGTGCTTTCTGCACAGCTAACTAATATGCTGCATTCTGCATATTGAGCCAACTGACCACCTACTTTTGTACCTTTATTTTATTTTTTGAGACAGAGTCTCACTTTGTTACCCAGGCTGCAGTGCAGTGGCACGATCTCGGCTCACTGCAACTTCCACCTCCTGGGTTCAAGCGATTCTTCTGCCTCAGCCTCTCGAGTAGCTGGGACAACAGGTGCACGCCATCACACCCGACTAATTTTTGTATTTTTAGTAGAGATGGAGTTTCACCATGTTGGCCAGGTTTGTCTCGAACTCCTGACCTCATGATCCGCCCACCTCAGCCTCCCAAAGTGCTGGAATTACAGGCGTGAGCCACCGCGCCCAGCCTGTACCTTTATGTTTCATTGCTGAAGAGAGAAAACAGCGGGTGAAGATAATATAGCTATTTCTTTAAGGGAGTGGTGGACCGTATAATGAGTTCATTGGAAAAGGGTGTTACCTTGCCTTGGCCTGGGTAGCTTCTCTTTAAGCGGATATGGAAAGGGTTGCTTTAAACTGAATATAGCCATTAGCATAAATTTATGGGTGCCTTCATGCAATGAAGGCTCATGAAATGATATCCTCATTCTTGTCTAATACGTAACTTGACCTTTTACAGTCTTTAACAATAATACCCATAAGAGCCACAAAGTGGGGATGTTATTAAAGCTAGCCTCTGTGTTTCTCTCTCTGAGCATCTCATTCTATGATCTTTATACACACTTCTGACTCAGGTGTTTTTAATATTTATCCCTCTTCATATTTCTTTGTATTTTCTCTGAACATGCATGTGGGTGTAGGAGTCTCTCTTGCCATCATCATCGCTCTCTTCCTCTATGTTTCTCACTGTTATGCTAATTTTCATCTATGAATTGACACCTTACTGTATTTATTATGAATCTACTTTTTTTTTCTTCCTTTCTTTCTTTTTTTTTTTTTTTTTTTTTTTTTTTTTTTGAGACAGAGTTTTGCTCTGTCACCCAGGGTGGAGTGCAGTGGTGCGATCTCAACTCACTACAACCTCTGCCTGCCAGGTTCAAGCAATTCTCCTGCCTCAGCCTCCCAAGTAGCTGGGATTACAGGCGTGCACCACCACGCCCGGCTAATTTTTGTATTTTAAGTAGAGACAGGGTTTCACTATGTTGATCAGGCTGGTCTTGAACTCCCGGCCTCAGGTGATCCGCCCACCTCGGCCTCCCAGATTGCTGGTATTGCCGGTGTGAGCCACCGCACCTGGCCATGAATCTATTTTTCTATATGCATATTTGCCACTATTTTTCTGCCCCGGTGGTTTATGTAACACATTCTCTTCTACTCTCCTTCCCTGACGCCTTTAATCCTAGTTTCATTTCCTTTCATGTCTTTTTATTTTGTGTCCCCTTTCCTCATTCTTTATTGCTCTTATACATGTTATAGGTGAGTATTTTTTTAACTACCCATTTATTTAAAACCAAAATATACTTTGTCATTCTTTATTTTTGAATCATATTGTATCCTTCCTTAATTTAAAAGGTGAAAAGATGGAACATTCATTTTGCAGGCTCAGGATTATTTGGGTAGAAGGAGCCTCATGAAACTAAATTATTTTCACATCTTCTAGATTAGAATACCGAGTCCTAGAAAGGTTATGTGACTTATTTGAGACCATGTAGCTCTCTATTTAAATATAAAAGTGATTCCAAAACAAAGAATGGGGGTTTTAACCTTTTGGTGAAGCTCAAGTGATTTCTATGTGGATAATACCCTAGAAAAAAAAGAAAAAATATGGATTCCCATTTCATTCCATTGCTCCTTTAAATATTAAAATGGGGATTTACTTTCTTTAAAAAAAAAACTATATGAGTTTTTGCTTTGCTTTCTGCTCTTTTTGAGAACTAAATGCTAGGTTTTTAAATTACTTTCTAGAACCTTCTCTACTGTGGAACATTTATGATTGTGTAATATAGCAAAACATGTTTATGTTGTTTCAGAGTTAGTTAAAATCCTATTTTTAATGTCAAGTAATTTTACAGGTAGTATATGTTATGCATTCCTGTTAGTTTTAATAAATATATTTTCATTTTGTTAAATAAATTTACGTTTTCATCATATTTTACATGTAAACAGTAACTTACTATCTACACGTAAAATACCATTTACAAATAAAATATACTGTTTAAATGTAAATAGTAAATTACTATTTG